AGTAGGTGGCAGTAGTGTTCTTTGACAAACATGGATGCCTCCAGTAAAGCACATTCACATGAAAACCACTCTTAGTTAAAAACACTGATCATTTATTGAACAGGATGGAATAATTTCAGATTTAAAGGACTTTCAGATGTTTGAATTCTGAATGTGAGCATTAAATCTCATGGATTTTTTTTCTTATTATTTTATTTTATTCTTTGCTTCTATGTCGTCCACAATGTTTGATTCATTTAACCGAGGAAACATGTTGTTAGACTTGCGATCGTGTTGAAACCCAAGGTTATGTGCTGATCTTCACTGCATGAATGAGAAGCGTCGTGACTGAAACTGTGACGCTCTGGTGTTCATCGTGATGCGCTCGTTCTTTACCTCACAGCAAACCCTCTGCTATTTACCTCCAGACACAGAGACGAAGACTAACCACTGACATCGATCAGGGATTTTTACCCAAAGAGGAAAGCAAACAATTAAAGTGATTGGTTGAGACAAGGCTACATTGATTTGTATGAACTCTGACCACACAGACATTAAATCTCTTTCCTATTAGAGCCCATTAATCCAGCTGTGTATGTATAGACTCCAAGAATTTAATTTCTTTTCAAAATTCAATCAAGAGTTTTCCTAAAATAAAAAAGGGTTTTACTGTTCAACACTTCCTATGAAGGCCTACTGGTAAATTCATAGTTTAAATAAAGTCTGTGTGATATGGCTAGAATATGTATCACAAAACAAAAGTATTTTGTACCAGTATATTAATTATTGATTCAAGTTTTTTTACCTATTTGAAATAAAGCCAAGGGGTTAAAAAGCACCTTAACCATATTTAAACATGACCTTTAACCTCTAACACCAACACTTCCAATCTTGATTAGTTTGGCTCTAAGAGGTTGAGATGCTGAATACGTCTCTGCCTGCATCCCCCAGAAAACCACCTGGTTCTGGATCAAAGTTTAACGGAAGAATTCAGTGTTTTATTGCATGTGTGCATCATGACGTATCTTGATATAAATCTATAATCCAGCCCTAGCTTAAATGAATCCATTTTTACCCCCAACATGCTGCAATGCATATTTCCGCCCAAACGGCATAGAAAGATGCTTCTCATTAAATACATAACACTAAAGTTTTTTCTTCCTGTAAATCTGAGCCTGCAGTATTTATGGCGTAAAATCTTTTTGAGTCATATTCAGGAGAGGCTTCAAACTAAGCATCTATAACTAGAGACACTAGTGGTATCTGCTAAGAAACACAGGTGGTACTGGTTTATCAGCAGCGATGCAATGATAAATCTGTGCAACCTCATGCTACGCTATGCATTTGCTCTGTCTGCACTGATGAAGTTTCACTCGTTGGAGCAGGCTATAGGCCTGCTACACCCAGCTAATTGAAAATCTGAGCGTGAATAGGGGGAATAGCAGCCTAGTGGTTACCATAGAGCTTAGAATCCAGATGTTCTGAGTTTAAGCCCCACTTCCACGGTCTGCCACTCTGGGTTCCTGAGCAAGACCCTTAAATGGTAAATGTCCTGTACTTATATAGCGCTTTTATTCAAGTCAGAAGACTTGACCAAAGCGCTTTACACTACATTCATTCACCCATTCACGCACACACTGATGGTGGCAAGCTACATTGTAGCCACAGCTGCCCTGGGTCTCACTGACAGAAGCGGGGCTGCCGTACACTGGCACCACCGGGCCCTCTGACCACCATCAGTAGACAATGCAGGTGAAGTGTCTTTGCCAAGGACACAACGATACTGAAAGCCAGAGCCGGGGCTTGAACCGTCAATCCTTCGATTTCAGGGCAAACTGTCACTGCCACTGTCTAAAAGTCCACCATTAAATTCAAGCACTTTCAAGGACTTTCCACAACTAGTTTCCTCAAAGAACTAGTTTCCATGCATGTTAGCATTTACTTCTGCTACATTAAATATCAAATCTAAATAAACCCCAAAACTTACAATGACTTTCAAGGATGGATGTTGTTTTATGGTCGTTTTCAAAATCTTTCAAGGCCTCGACATTAAATATTTGAAATTCAGAAACTTTCTGGGATTTTTAGGGACTTATGGGAATGAAGTAATTTCATTCAAATTGATATCGTGTGTTAGATCCTTTATACATTGGATGATTTCCATGCCTTTAGTTTTGTTAGTTTTGATGATTAGCGCCAGCATTAGTAAAGCAGGCCATACACTGTAGGATATTTTCAATCGTTTCACGCAGCAACAGCTCAAACTGTACATCAGCGGTCCTCAACGTTTTCCAGGCCTCCTACATCCAACGCCACTGTCGCCCCTTAACCCGACACTGCTCCCCCAGGCACAACGGCAGCTCACCGCTCCCCAAGGGGATGGGTTAAATGCAGAGAGTGAATTTCGTTGTGCTGTACACGTTACGGTGTAATGACAATAAAACGCTGGAAAGGAAATGAATAGTAAAGAGAAACAGAGAGCGATCCAAAGTTCTACGTAGCTGTGGTACGGCCAGAAAACGACCATGTAGCAGCGGTAGACAAAAGAAACAACTACATGCCATGGCCAATCCCCTCATTTCGTTGCTCTAACCACAGCTACCAACTTTCAAATTGTCCTTACTCTGTTGAATTTGGCAATCAGTAATAAAAAAGGTTGTCTGTATTTAAAGTGCCTTGTGTAGCCAACCCTGCACCGGTTTTTATTGTCCATCTTCAGTTTTTGGTTAGTTTTTCCTCCAGCTGAAACTGTGACGCAACGTAAACAGAAAAATGGTCAATATGCTGAGGGGAGCTTAACTTACGGAAGAGGATTAGGGCCACTGGGAAAAAAAAAAGTAAACTGATTTTTTAATTTTATTTCAGTTTAACATGGGAAAAAAGTCAGAATTCTGAGAAAAAAGTCAGAACTCTGACTTTAATCTCAGAATTCTGACTGAATTCTGACAATAAAAAAAAGTCAGAATTCTGAGATTAAAGTCAGAATTCTGAGGAAAAAAAGTCAGAATTCTGAAATTCATACTATACTGAAATAAAATAAAAAAAAATCAGTTAACTTTTTTTTTTTTCCAGTGGCCCTAATCCTCTTCCGTATTAACTGGCCTCAGACAGAGCTGTGGGGTTTTTCATTAAGGTATCAGTTTAATATCTAATAGATTTTCTAACCAAACAACTGACTTAATTCATTTGTTTTGAGACCTTAAAAACACAAGCTTCTTTTTGGTGGGGCAGTTTGTCTTGTCACCAGTGTCGTCCTCTCTCAAACTACTCAACCACAGATCAATTGAACAAAGAGCTTGTTGGTGGTTAATTTGTTAATTTGTTTGATCTGCAAGATGCTCCACGCTTCATTTAAGCCTGCAGATCAACATTCCTCCCATCTGAGGCCCCGTCCACACGAAGCCGAACCCTGGCCTAAACGCACAAATTTTTCACCAAACCAGCCTCTCATCCATACGAAGCCGGCGTTTCGGGGGTCTGTAAACGATCTTTTTTTTATTAAGCCTTCAGAGTGGGAAGATTTCGAAACGTCGTTTTCGCGTTTCCATCTTTACGCTCTAACCGCATATTTTTTTTTTACACGCATGCGTCATAGCGTCGCCTCTAAACACGCATGCGCGACACAGTATCACAACAACAATGGCGCCGTTGCTGCTCATGCTACTCACCCTGCTGTCGGGCTTACAACAGAATCTTCTTCTTCTGGAATATCTCCAGGAAGAACAGAGCAATATCGACCACATAGTTCAGCACCTGAATTTGACTTAACCACGAAAATGGACCCGCAGGGCAACCATGTATAAATATTACTGCGCATGCCCAACATTTCGTCGCCTATTTTTGCTTTGGCACCACAGCGCCACTTACAGGCCTGGCATACATTTTGCAGCGTTTTCATGCATTCGTGTGGACGATCACATTTATTTTACGTCTCCGTCTTTACGGCAAACGTTTTGGAAAATATCAGCGTTTCGTGTTCATTTTAACTTCGTGTGGACGGGGCCTAAGATCCTTTCATTTAGGCACTGAAGAGGAAAGGAGATTAAAAGTGCAGCTCTCTATCTATTTACTCTAACTGTATCATCTCCATCTGATCTCAAACCAGGGGCACCACCAGGAATTTGGGGCCCTATGAAATACATTGATGACAAAAAAAATATGTAAGCTTTTAAACTAGTTTAAAGACACATTGATTTGTTTCATTCATTATCACTATTTAAAATGATGTGCACGTGAAACTTAAGCCCCGGTACGAGCAAACTGCCGGTGACAGACAGGGATACCTGATGGGATGCAGGATGGGGGTTTGATCAATATATTCATGCTTTGTTTTGCTGTTTACTGCTTAAAAATTAGGGAGAAAAATTACTTGTACAAAAATAACTTATTTCACTGCTGTACAGCTCAGACAGTACAGCGGAACAAATTTAATTCAATTCAGTTTATTTCTATAACGCCAAATTCACAACACATCATCTTAAGGCACTTTACAGTTCAACCAGATCATACAGTCAAATTTATTCAAAGTTTTCTATCTAAGGAAAACCAGTTGATTGGATCGACTCATTGACTCTTCAGCAATCCCTCACACCAAGCATGCTTGTAGTGACAGTGGAGAGGAAAAACTCCCTTTTAACAGGAAGAAACCTCCAGCAGAACCAGGCTCAGTGTGAGCGGCCATCTGCTGAGGCCCACTGGGGTTCAAGTGTAGTAAATCTTTTCTTCTTCTTTTGGGCCCCCCCTCACTCAAGGGCCCTTAGAATCTTCCTAACATCCCCCCCCCCCACCCCCCACCCCCATATGCTGCCCGTGTCTCATCTATCCGTCCCAGCACCTCCCTTCTCACCAATAAAACCAGTTTACTGTGACTGAAACTGACTGTAAGAAGCTGGACCTACAAGAGGACAAAACCCTGATCTGTTATTTGAGCGGGATGAAACATTTTGGAAGTGATCAGCTGTGACACAGAAGATTTTATCTTACCTGAATCCCATCTTATCCTTTTGTTTTATGTTTTACAGAAAGGCAGAACCATGCCCGGGAGAAAGTGAGAGAAGCTGACCTGTCCCAGTGGGACGCTTTAGTCATCATATCAGGAGACGGACTTCTGCACGAGGTACAGAAAAACCCATCATACCAAGCATCTGTTTGGTGCTGAAACGGGACTCCTCTAAAGTGGCGATTAGGGAAAATAGTCGAGGATAACAAATAATTAAGAAGGGACTGGTTTTTGTCACGTGAATTTTTAACTAACTTTTAAAGAGTAAAAAAAACAAAAATGCAAATTAGACAGTTTCTAGTTTTCTATCCATCGGAGTGAATTAATGATGCAGTGTGAAGCATAATGTCGCCACATGTTGACGTTACGGCTTGGCTGTAGGAGACAGGAAGTAGAGTTAGCATGCTAGCGTTGGATTCTGGAAAGTCGTACTTAGTTTATCATGTCAGCTGGTCTTAGCGATGGTTTATGCCATCTGGAGACATCAGGAGAGAAATGTGACTCTAATGATGGATTCAGGATGCCAGCGACGGCAGAAACAGCTGATCAGCCATGTAAGGTAAACATTTGCTAAGTCAGAACGTATTGTTCTCACTTTCTGATTTTACTAAGCAAATAACCAATGGATTATTATCTTTATTCATGTAAAAAGAGATACTTTTGTATACTAACATTTCTGAATACACATCTAAATTTGGAATATAGGAAAAAACCCTTATTGCACATTTTAAATGAATTGAAAATGGCAAAACATGTTTATATAAATAGTTACTTAAAATTTTTATAGTTGTAGAGTTTTGTCTTAATTACTGCTCTAAGTAGGTTATTCTTTCATGATCTTATTTTTAGGGATGCACGATATAATCGGCCCCCTATTGGTATCGGCCTTAAAACTGAATATCGGACATCGGCCACCCCACCGATATTTAACCCGATATTTGATCAGCTTCTGAGTTTCTAAAGTCTAAAAAAAAATAAATAAAATACTACTTCTTCTTCTTCCTCAAAAACTTCTTTTTTACAGACTTAAAAACTTCTAAAGACGAGGGAAAAAATATTGATCCATTAAAATATCCGTAAACGTTTCAGTGTCACTCTTCCTCCTCAGAGCTCAGATTTAAACAGTTGAGAAATCCGACCCGATGCATGCTGTACGCTGCTGGATTTACGCAAACAAGCTGAACCATTAAACACAATATAAGAAAAATAAACATGACTGTTTTCAACCAAGGTAGGAAAAAAGTGAGCTTAGAAAACTTAGTCAATCCGGAAAACTCCAGTCAGCAAGGAATAATCAATGGATCATTATTTATACCTAAAACTAATATATTTGCAGTGATTTATTGAATTTAGTATTAATCAGTAAAAAAAAAATATAAATAACATTTAAGACAATTTGATGTTTTTACAATATTTAGACTTTAAGTTGCCCAATAAATCGCGGATTGATTTAGACCAGGAGTCTGCAACCTGCAGCTATTTGGACCTTCAACAATGGCTCTTAATAGTGGCTAAAAATGATAGAATACTGTTTTCTTTTTTATTTTATTATTATTATTACAGATAGGGATGCAAGATATAATCGCCCCCCTATCGGTATCGGCCTTAAAACTGAAGATCGGACATCGGCCACCCCACCGATATTTAACCCGATATTTGATCAGCTTCTGAGTTTCTAAAGTCTAAAAAATAAATAAAATACTACTTCTTCTTCTTCCTCAAAAACTTCTTTTTTACAGACTTAAAAACTTCTAAAGACGAGGGAAAAATATTGATACATTAAAATATCCCAATATCTTCATATGCTGATATATTGCCATTTAAAAACACCATATCAATCTCTTTTACTAATGAAATATTGCTATATGTCATCGTTATGCTACGAAATCCCCCGAAAATTCACCAAATGTTGCCATATTTTTATATGTTGATATATTGACGCGGCATCGATCTATTTTACTAACAAAATCTCACAAGAATTTGCAAAATATCACGATCTTCTGAAAGTGAAATAGATCGATATCGCGTTTTTAAAAATCTATTTGATATCAGCATATGAAAATATATTTGAGTATATTATTTTTCAAAGTGTCAGAAATGGATAACAAAACTGCTATTTTCAATGACTACTTATTTTTGTCCAGCTTTAACATCGGTATCGATATCGGTTATCGGCTACATGAGTTTTAAAATATCGGCATATTGGATATCGGCCAAAATCCCAATATCGTGCATCTCTAATTATTTTTATTTAACCAGGAAAAGAAATCGCAAATTGAAAAAAAAAAAAAAAAAAAAAAAACTCTTTTTCAAGGGAGTCCTGGTCAAGAGGCAGCAAATTTACATTATAAACAGACATTAAATTAAATGACAGGTACATAAAAAAACATATCAAGTAAAACAATTACAGATAATTAAGGCTGCTTTAAATTCTTTTACTTTCAACTTAAATGCATTTAAGAATAAAAACTCAGTCAGCTTCCAGTTTCTTTGCAAAAAACCACAATGAGCTGCATAGCTAAAGAGAGAGGGAAGGCCATCTCACCTGAGAGGACAGGTCACAGTGATGTCATAGCTCTACAGTTTGTTATGAACCTTAATGAAGCACGGGAAACAGATTCCAACATTTTAAAGACATAAAGAAACAGGATTCTTATAAAAAAAAGTCACCATGATCTAAGACAGATAAAAACGTGGCGCTTTTAATACTTTTAATTGCCTTTTTTAGAGTATTTCATTACTGTAGAGAAACTTGATCCTATGTCCAAATTAGATGAAGGAAATTTTAATAATCGACCAATCATGATTAATCTGATTAATCATTTCAGCCTCATTTTCCTCCAGTTAGATTTTGGAGATTCCTGCACATCTGATCCCAAAGGAGAGTTTAGGGAAAATTTGAAAGTGGTTCCGTTTGTCCTCCGCCTGAAGGCTCACTCAGCAAAATAACTGAATTTAAATTCTTTTCAGACCTTTTTTTCACGTCTTAGCTGCCAAACAGAGCAAGCTTCTGTTTGCTGAGTGATTTTCCTTTTATTGAAATCTATTTCTTTGGCGTATTTTTTCAGAAAACATTCCAACAATCCTTTTTATTCTGCTTTTGCTAGTTTGCTAGAATATTTTCAGTGTTTTTAAATTGATTTTATGGAGTTAATTCATTATCAAATCAACACTGTTGTCATTTTGGATGGTGATGTAGTAGCAGCCTGCTGCATATTTCAGATGTTTGCTTTGCTCCCACACACGGTTTCAGTCGGTTGCCTTCCACTGACTTCCACAGAACATGATAACTGGAAGGTGAAGTCATTCATTTCCTGGAATCAGGTGTGTTTAGAGCAGAGAAACATCTAAAAATATGCTGAAAACTAGACTTACAGCTGCTCTCAACCAGCTCGTTCCGTATTTTACATTGCTTACATGTTTCCTTTTGTTCTTTTGCCAATTGGTAAGGCTTCAGTGTCTGATGGTTTCATTACCATAAAGAAAACAAAAAATGTAATTATTTCAAAGCGAGTAACAAGAAATTATTTTATAGCTTTAGATTGACAGCAGGTGATGAAGGGGAGTTTTTCAATCTTGAACACAGTTGCACAGATTCCTGCAGGGTCATTAATGTCAGGTCCTAACAAACTATCTTGCCATAGCTTTGATTTGGTGAAATGTGCTTTTGTTTTAATGAAAATACCTTTCTAAACCACATTGAACTTTGAAAGCAGAAATTAATTCATGCTGCAGCCAACTTTAAGAGTGCTTTTGTTTTGAATACCATGAACCAAACAGGGTAGAGATAATACCTTCAGATTCTGAAATATGGTAGATGAAAGGTAATAGTAAGCTAACTCCTCTGGTGGCTCTGCCTATGAAAGAAACCATTTAGAAGACGACCTCAGCCAGTTTCCATGTTAACATGATAGCTGAGCCCATGTCTAGGAGAGAAACATGACTAAACATTAAAAGCAGACCTAGCTTTATCTAAAATCAAAGATATTTCTCTCCAGGATGGAGTCACAGCCGAACAGCAACAGACCAGATTCAGATATTATGACAAGAAAAAGCAGAAACGAATCGTTAGAGATGGAACTTACAGATAATGCAGAATGAGAGTATAGAGATAGAAGGATGAAAAGTGGTCCCTTTGTCCTCCAGCATCTTAAGCCGATAGCAGCATAACTATGCAGATAGCTCAGGATAACCTGAGCTCTTCAAGGTAGACGTTCTAATTGCAGGAAGAAAAAGCAAAATGAGCAACTCTACTATTAGTAAGTTTAAAAAAAAATACTTTGTGTTTATTTTACGCATCAAGCGGAGGGAGATACTTAACTAAAGCTAGCTGCACCAACTGTCAATAAAAGACGCGGCTCCTTTACTCTTCTTTTACAAAAGGAATTCATCTTTCTTACTAAGAATATTATTTACAGCCTGGAAATAAATATTTTTAGATCTGTTCATAGAAATTAGAATCTCCAAAAACAGGTCAAGAATTTTAAGGCAAGGCAAGGCAAATTTATTTGTATAGCACAATTCAGTACAAAGACAATGCAAAGTGCTTTACATGATTAAAATACAGGAAGAATCAAAGCAAGTAGGAAACTAAGGAAATAAGAAATTAGCCTTAATATTCTGATTGCTTGTAAAAAGGAGCGCTACCGCAGGTCAACCAGACTCTAAAATAGCAATAACTTGTGCAATGTAGAATGTGCAATTATTATCTGATACCCTGTGCAATAACTGCATATATAAATATAAATATCCATCTATATATATACCCATGTAAACACCCTGTGCAGTAACCCTGTATAATAAGTATAACAAAAAAGAAAAAGCTGTTGTAGTATATATCTGATGCACCTTTCTCTCCCTTTGTCACAGTCTTCTTCTCTTTTTGATTATTTGAATTGATTTAATGAACACATTTCTCCACTGCAGGATCAATAAATTCAATCAATCAATAGTCAACAAAACAAGAAACTGTTTCCTAAGAGACTAAAAAACACTTCTTAAGGGACAGTGAACACCGAGAAAGAGAAATGATAAAATCAACTTTCTAAAATGGGAATTAGTCAAACCTAAAGTGAAATAAAGGCCAAAGATTTCGGTAAAGTTATTGAAACATGGATTTAGACGTTATCAATAAATATCATATATATTTTCTATTATTCAAACAATTTCAATTCTATTCAGTTTATTTCTATAGCGCTAATTCACATCATGTCATCTCAAGGCACTTTCCAGTTCAACCAGATCATTCATTCAGATTGATTCAAAGTTTTCTATCTAAGGAAAACCAGCTGATTGGATCGACTCATTGACTCTTCAGCAATCCCTCACACTAAGCATGCTTGTAGCGACAGTGGAGAGGAAAAACTCCCTTTGAACAGGAAGAAACCTCCAGCAGAACCAGGCTCAGTGTGAGCGGCCATCTGCTGAGGCCCACTGGGGTTCAAGGAGACAGAAGCAGAGATACAAAAAACAGCTGCAAAAGACAAGTCCAACTCATACTGGAGCTTTACTGAAATAGTTAATATTTATAAGCATTTTATTAATATTCATTAGTTAATCAGCAAAATTCTGACATAAAATTAGAAAATAAATCCTAAAGCATCAGTTTTCCCCCCTTTGCATGCAGCAGAGATGTCCGTTCTTTAGAAAAAAGAAAAAAGGGGTAAAAAGCTGTATTTTCTGTGTTCCAGGTGATAAATGGTCTGCTGGAAAGAGCAGACTGGGAGGAGGCCATCCGCACGCCGCTGGGTATCCTTCCTGGAGGGTCAGGCAATGCTTTGGCTGCATCTGTTCACTACTACTCTGGGTGAGACACTCATGGAAACATGAATCAAAGCACGTTTGGTTGCTTGTTTTGCATAATATTTAATCCTCAAAGATTTAAAAATATATTTCCTCCCCAGATAGCAGCATTATGTTGACTTAGATATATCAAAACTATCCTTGATTTGTTCAAATCCTTTTTAACTTGTATTACTATGAGTTGAGACGGAGAAACGCCCAGTTTACAGTTCAATGGAAACCAGTTGAACCAGTCAGGTAGCATTTCATTCCCGGGTCACATACTTTCATCTACGGATAAAGCGTACTACGAATGACTGGAACCACAATGAATAAATGAAGAGCTACTTTTCTAATGATGTCACCTAAATTACACCAAGATGAGTCACATTTCCTTTGTAGCTAACTAACGATAGCAGCAGCTGGACTTCTATTACAAACCAACACGCAAGTTAGGTTCTTAGTTAGATTTTTAGTGGAGGTAGTTTTATTTTTTAAATATTCTAAACCCCGTCCTTCTGCTAAAGTGTAAAACAGGATCGATCTGCAGACGAGCGGGAGTCCTTTGCTGTTTAGCTGCTGATAAAGCTGTGTTTGAACAGCTGAGGCGTGTAGCTGCTGGTCGTCTGTCACAATATAATGCATTTCTCTAACAGCCATTAATTATTAACAGTTCTGTCCTCTGCAGAATACGGAGGAGGATTAGGGCCACTGGAAAAAAAAAAAAAGTTAACTGATTTTTAAATTTTATTTCAATTTAGTGTGGGAAAAAAGTCAGAATTCTGACTTTAATCTCAGAATTCTGACTTTTTTCTCAAAATTCTGACTTTAAACTCAGAATTCTGGCTTTAATCTCAGAATTCTGACTTTAATCTCAGAATTCTGACTTTAATCTCAGAATTCTGACTTTAATCTCAGAATTCTGACTTTAATCTCAGAATTCTGACTTTAATCTTAGAATTCTGACTTTAATCTCAGAATTCTGGCTTTAATCTCAGAATTCTGGCTTTTATCTCAGAATTCTGACTTTAATCTCAGAATTCTGGCTTTAATCTCAGAATTCTGACTTTAATCTCAGAATTCTGGCTTTTATCTCAGAATTCTGACTTTAATCTCAGAATTCTGGCTTTAATCTCAGAATTCTGGCTTTTATCTCAGAATTCTGACTTTAATCTCAGAATTCTGGCTTTTATCTCAGAATTCTGACTTTAATCTCAGAATTCTGGCTTTTATCTCAGAATTCTGACTTTAATCTCAGAATTCTGACTTTTTTCCAAGAATTCTGACTTTTTTCCAAGAATTCTGACTTTAATCTCAGAATTCTGGCTTTAATCTCAGAATTCTGGCTTTTATCTCAGAATTCTGACTTTAATCTCAGAATTCTGGCTTTTATCTCAGAATTCTGACTTTAATCTCAGAATTCTGGCTTTTATCTCAGAATTCTGGCTTTAATCTCAGAATTCTGGCTTTAATCTCAGAATTCTGGCGTTTATCTCAGAATTCTGGCTTTTATCTCAGAATTCTGGCTTTAATCTCAGAATTCTGGCTTTAATCTCAGAATTCTGGCGTTTATCTCAGAATTCTGACTTTCATCTCAGAATATTGGCTTTTATCTCAGAATTCTGACTTTAATCTCAGAATTCTGGCTTTAATCTCAGATTTCTGACTTTAATCTCAGAATTCTGGCTTTTATCTCAGAATTCTGACTTTAATCTCAGAATTCTGACTTTAATCTCAGAATTCTGACTTTTTTCCAAGAATTCTGACTTTTTTTCCAAGAATTCTGACTTTAATCTCAGAATTCTGGCGTTTATCTCAGAATTCTGGCGTTTATCTCAGAATTCTGACTTTAATCTCAGAATTCTGGCTTTAATCTCAGAATTCTGGCTTTTATCTCAGAATTCTGACTTTAATCTCAGAATTCTGGCTTTTATCTCAGAATTCTGACTTTAATCTCAGAATTCTGGCTTTTATCTCAGAATTCTGACTTTAATCTCAGAATTCTGACTTTTTTCCAAGAATTCTGACTTTTTTCCAAGAATTCTGACTTTAATCTCAGAATTCTGGCTTTAATCTCAGAATTCTGGCTTTTATCTCAGAATTCTGGCTTTTATCTCAGAATTCTGACTTTAATCTCAGAATTCTGGCTTTTATCTCAGAATTCTGACTTTAATCTCAGAATTCTGGCTTTTATCTCAGAATTCTGGCTTTAATCTCAGAATTCTGGCTTTAATCTCAGAATTCTGGCGTTTATCTCAGAATTCTGGCTTTTATCTCAGAATTCTGGCTTTAATCTCAGAATTCTGGCTTTAATCTCAGAATTCTGGCGTTTATCTCAGAATTCTGACTTTCATCTCAGAATATTGGCTTTTATCTCAGAATTCTGACTTTAATCTCAGAATTCTGGCTTTAATCTCAGATTTCTGACTTTAATCTCAGAATTCTGGCTTTTATCTCAGAATTCTGACTTTAATCTCAGAATTCTGACTTTAATCTCAGAATTCTGGCTTTTTTCCAAGAATTCTGACTTTTTTCCAAGAATTCTGACTTTAATCTCAGAATTCTGGCGTTTATCTCAGAATTCTGGCGTTTATCTCAGAATTCTGACTTTAATCTCAGAATTCTGGCTTTAATCTCAGAATTCTGACTTTAATCTCAGAATTCTGGCTTTTATCTCAGAATTCTGACTTTAATCTCAGAATTGTGTATTTTATCTCAGAATTCTGACTTTAATCTCAGAATTCTGGCTTTTATCTCAGAATTCTGACTTTAATCTCAGAATTCTGACTTTTTTCCAAGAATTCTGACTTTCATCTCAGAATATTGGCTTTTATCTCAGAATTCTGACTTTAATCTCAGAATTCTGGCTTTAATCTCAGATTTCTGACTTTAATCTCAGAATTCTGGCTTTTATCTCAGAATTCTGACTTTAATCTCAGAATTCTGACTTTAATCTCAGAATTCTGACTTTTTTCCAAGAATTCTGACTTTTTTCCAAGAATTCTGACTTTAATCTCAGAATTCTGGCGTTTATCTCAGAATTCTGGCGTTTATCTCAGAATTCTGACTTTAATCTCAGAATTCTGGCTTTAATCTCAGAATTCTGACTTTAATCTCAGAATTCTGGCTTTTATCTCAGAATTCTGACTTTAATCTCAGAATTGTGGATTTTATCTCAGAATTCTGACTTTAATCTCAGAATTCTGGCGTTTATCTCAGAATTCTGGCGTTTATCTCAGAATTCTGACTTTAATCTCAGAATTCTGGCTTTAATCTCAGAATTCTGACTTTAATCTCAGAATTCTGACTTTTTTCTCAAAATTCTGACTTTAAACTCAGAATTCTGGCTTTAATCTCAGAATTCTGACTTTAATCTCAGAATTCTGACTTTAATCTCAGAATTCTGACTTTAATCTCAGAATTCTGACTTTAATCTCAGAATTCTGACTTTAATCTTAGAATTCTGACTTTAATCTCAGAATTCTGGCTTTAATCTCAGAATTCTGGCTTTTATCTCAGAATTCTGACTTTAATCTCAGAATTCTGGCTTTAATCTCAGAATTCTGACTTTAATCTCAGAATTCTGGCTTTTATCTCAGAATTCTGACTTTAATCTCAGAATTCTGGCTTTAATCTCAGAATTCTGGCTTTTATCTCAGAATTCTGACTTTAATCTCAGAATTCTGGCTTTTATCTCAGAATTCTGACTTTAATCTCAGAATTCTGGCTTTTATCTCAGAATTCTGACTTTAATCTCAGAATTCTGACTTTTTTCCAAGAATTCTGACTTTTTTTCCAAGAATTCTGACTTTAATCTCAGAATTCTGGCTTTAATCTCAGAATTCTGGCTTTTATCTCAGAATTCTGACTTTAATCTCAGAATTCTGGCTTTTATCTCAGAATTCTGACTTTAATCTCAGAATTCTGGCTTTTATCTCAGAATTCTGGCTTTAATCTCAGAATTCTGGCTTTAATCTCAGAATTCTGGCGTTTATCTCAGAATTCTGGCTTTTATCTCAGAATTCTGGCTTTAATCTCAGAATTCTGGCTTTAATCTCAGAATTCTGGCGTTTATCTCAGAATTCTGACTTTCATCTCAGAATATTGGCTTTTATCTCAGAATTCTGACTTTAATCTCAGAATTCTGGCTTTAATCTCAGATTTCTGACTTTAATCTCAGAATTCTGGCTTTTATCTCAGAATTCTGACTTTAATCTCAGAATTCTGACTTTAATCTCAGAATTCTGACTTTTTTCCAAGAATTCTGACTTTTTTCCAAGAATTCTGACTTTAATCTCAGAATTCTGGCGTTTATCTCAGAATTCTGGCGTTTATCTCAGAATTCTGACTTTAATCTCAGAATTCTGGCTTTAATCTCAGAATTCTGGCTTTTATCTCAGAATTCTGACTTTAATCTCAGAATTCTGGCTTTTATCTCAGAATTCTGACTTTAATCTCAGAATTCTGGCTTTTATCTCAGAATTCTGACTTTAATCTCAGAATTCTGACTTTTTTCCAAGAATTCTGACTTTTTTCCAAGAATTCTGACTTTAATCTCAGAATTCTGGCTTTAATCTCAGAATTCTGGCTTTTATCTCAGAATTCTGGCTTTTATCTCAGAATTCTGACTTTAATCTCAGAATTCTGGCTTTTATCTCAGAATTCTGACTTTAATCTCAGAATTCTGGCTTTTATCTCAGAATTCTGGCTTTAATCTCAGAATTCTGGCTTTAATCTCAGAATTCTGGCGTTTATCTCAGAATTCTGGCTTTTATCTCAGAATTCTGGCTTTAATCTCAGAATTCTGGCTTTAATCTCAGAATTCTGGCGTTTATCTCAGAATTCTGACTTTCATCTCAGAATATTGGCTTTTATCTCAGAATTCTGACTTTAATCTCAGAATTCTGGCTTTAATCTCAGATTTCTGACTTTAATCTCAGAATTCTGGCTTTTATCTCAGAATTCTGACTTTAATCTCAGAATTCTGACTTTAATCTCAGAATTCTGGCTTTTTTTCCAAGAATT